AGGATGATATTCTGTTGCAGTTAATAGCGTGGCACTGTAGAGAACATTTAAATGCATCGGCTTAGTTACAACATAATGATATGAATGTATCATATTGCTAAAATCTATGTATTGCTCATAAACGTGTATGTCCTTATATATTACATCTTAGTTTCTCAGGAGATACCGGCGGCTCTTTTGTTTCATTACATCTTAGAAATTGGAGTTGAAGAGAATATGTAGACTTTCTTTTATAGCTGTGATTCAATTATACTAGTTGAGAATAGTACCTTCTCCAGTATAGCAAGTTATCTCCAAGTGTTCGTTTTTTCCGGGTCGGTTCATATTGAATTCGAACATAATCTAGCTAAAGTTCGGTAGGTGGTTTGGATCAGGATATGTGTTTCGGTGGGTAGTTTGAGGCTTCCCATTTTCACCACTGGGTCGACTGTGTAGGTTCTAACCATTTCTCGTCCCCAGTCGCTCTCATGTTTGTCAAATGTTTAATGGTCTAAGCTCACCACTAGTATATATTGTCTGCATTGGCTCATTACGTATCGTCGTTAGCCTCACGATTTTAAAACATGTTTGCTAGGGAAAGTTTTCCACACTTTTACAATCCACTCTCTTGGGGGTCGACTCCAACCAATGTGGGATCTCATAATATGTCACCTGCTCATGTTCCCACCAATCCACTCTCTTGTTCTCCTTTCCAACCAATGTGGGATCTTACAATCCACTATCTTGGGGGTCGGCTCACCGCTTGGTGTCTGGCTTTAATATCATTTATAACAACCCAAGTTCACCGCTAGTAGATATTGTCCGCTTTTGTCAGTTACATATTGCCGTAAGCCTCATGGTTTTAAAACGCGTATGCTAGGGAGATGTTTTCACACCCTAATAAGGAAGGTTGTGTTATCTTCTTCAACCAAAGTAGGATCTCATAATATGTCACCTGCGTTACGATGTCGAGCTATGCAGTCTAGAACGGAATGAAATGAAATACATCTGGCTTTTCCCGTCCTTCAGAAATTGTGAAACTACCAGCCAAAATCTTTTACAGCAACCATATCTCTGAGAGTGAGGCCAGGTTGTAGAGGATAGCCACAGTGGAGTTTGGTTGGGCCAGGGAATGTTGTTTGTGCTACCACTTAGGCTGTCTCTTCTAAATTCCACTTTCCAAAAGCGTCTTCCTGACTGCAAATTGTTTGGAAAAAGAGACAGAAAAAGTAACTTAATTGTCAGAATAACATTGTTTGTAACTGCTTTGACATCATCTTGCAGCACAGCACAGCACAGTCTCTGGCCGCAATTGCTAGAATGTCTGCGGGCAAACAGCTTGGATCTCAGATTTCATGGCATCATTCACTTCTAATCCCCTAACAGAGCAATGCACTGAAAACAAGAAATTGATTCATATTCACACGAAGCTATCGATGCATCGTGAAAGCAGGGAAAAACAGCGATTTTCATTGTCAAACCAGTTGGTAGAAGTGGAGTCGACGTAGAGATGCTGCCATTCGGTGGTTCTCGGAAACGATGGTTTGACCCACGAGGAGATGATTGTTTCTACCTCTAGGAAAACGGGGGTCATGTCGATGCAAATATTATTCTCAATTCTTCAAAAACGTTCAAAAACTATTACTAAAATAAAAATTCGTTAGAACGTTGGATGAAAATTAAGACCTAGAACAAATGCGACAGTTACTTGGAACAACATAACAGTGTTTAAATTTCAATTCGTTAAAAACAACGAACAAGATGATAATTCTTTATAATTTAGCCTCAAAATTAGTTGAGGGGGTGATAATAAAAAGCGGGTTTGTGCCCAATGTTGGTCGAAAGCTTGGATTTGATGAAGAAAAGATGATAGTTTTGTTATTTCATCCAAATGTTGTTGAAAATGATTTGATTGATGGTTGGTATTGATGGGTATTGATGGGATGGAAGTGGATGTCCAAATCTATGAATTTGTGTGATTAGCTATCATTTTTCATACCATATTGATACCATTTTATCAATGTTCTATCTTTTTGTTGCCAATGCTTTCTTCCCCTACCTTCCTTTCTCTCTCCTCTTTGATTCTTGTCATCCCTATTTTAGACACCAATAACTCTAGATTCCCATCCCACTAACAGAAGATTACGAGTTTAATACGTTAGAGGTAGCTTCGTACCTGATATGATCGATCTTTTGGGTAAAAGTAAAACAAAATCCATGAAAACGTAGGTTTTGAATGGATAATATCATAAGATCATAAAGAAATGAAGCAGTTTAATTGCGTTGGTTTCTGAGATATGCCCTGATCTGCTATAGTCACGTTCAGTTATCAAGAACCGAGCAAATATGGTGAGTTACGAAAAAGACGGTCATGTCTAGTTTGTCGTTGAGCTCTATTGGGTAGACGTCGACAGTGTACTCTTTAAAAGCGTTGGACTGGAGAAAAAACGAGACGATGGTTTGGAAGTGCAATCAAAGCCTCACATTGGCTACGAAAAGAAAGATCACGAATATATGAGTGATGAATACGACATCTCGATAGATATAAGAGCTTTATCTTTTTTAACACGAGCTAAAATTAGGGTTTATAATGATTCTAATATCACATGCAATGACAACAAATATATCTTTTGACATTATTCCAATGCTATCTCTTGTTTGAAAAATTGGTTAAGAACATGTTCGACCGGGATTTTGATTTTTATCCTATTTAAATTAATTAAATGTCATATTTAAATTTTTTTAAACCTAATTTTTATATCATCAAATTTGATTTTAAATTATTAAAAATATGTTTTGGAGTGATAATTTGAACATAAAAAATAATTTTAAATAATTTCAAATTTTCATTCATGAATTTATTTCATGTTTAAAATACAATATTTTAAAGTTATAATTTTTTTTAAAATTTTTTAATTATACAAAGCACACTCACATTATTATCACCAATCTGCATGCATTATTTTTCATCAAATAACGCAATAAAAATTCTTTTTTTATTATTATTTTAATTTCCCATATTTATCAATAAGATAATTAATAAAGCTAAATAGAATATTCACCATTTCAACAAATTAAAAAAATAATAAATAAATAAATAAAATAAAAAACTGGATCGTTCTATATCTATATCTATCTATATATATATATATATATATATATATATATATATATATATATATATATATATATATATATATATATATATATATATATATATATATATATATATATATA